ATAAATTGCTTAAAAACTTCTATATCCCGAAAATAAGCTACTTCTGATTTTTTTAATTTAAAATCGGCCAAAAAAAGGTAGCTTATTTTCGGGAATCTACGGTAATTGTAACATTGTTAATTATCAATAAAAAGCCCCCCGGCCATAGAGGTCACCTTAAAAAAAAAAAAAAAAAAAAAAAAAATGAAATTGTTTTTCTAAGTCATTGTCATATCATCCTCTTTATCTAACAACTCATCTATCTCATCCAACAAAAATGTATATAAAGTTTCCTCTTCATTGAATGAGGGGTTTTGATTCTGGGTATACTTACTCTTAGGAGATACCTCTTCTAGTTTAAATGTTGGCATTGGTTGTTGTTATTATTGTTATTGTTGTTATTGTTATTATTATTGTTATTATTATTGTTGTTGTTATTATTATTTTGATAATTATTGTTATTATTGTTGTTCCAACTATTATAGTTATTATTACAATTATTGTTGTTATTACAGTTATTATTATTGTTGTTGTTCTAGTTGTTATTATTGTTGTTGTAATTATTATTATTGTTGTTGGGTTTTCAATTTTAATTCAGTTGACAATTTCTAGCTATATATCCTATTTGTTGACAATTATTGTAGTAGAAGGCAGTACAATTCAATACAAAGTGTCCAGATTGATTACATCTAAATCAATTATTATTTTGTTAACAAGATAGTCTATAATTGTTATTATTATTATAATTATTATTATTATAATTGTTATTATTATTATAATTGTTATTGTTATAATTGCTTCGATTTTGGTTTTGGGGTAGTTAGAATTTTAATTGGTTTTGTTGCATAGACCTAGCAACATACAGTGATGCTTCCATAAGATCATCTTGAAGACTATTTTGTGGTTGAGTGAGTGTTGTTATATGAGCTGGAGTGGTATATCCTCCAAAGAATTGTGGTTGAAAAGAGGTTAGAAGAAAAAAATAGGCAAAAAGAGCACTTCCTTTAAAGTATGCTACTTTAATAGCTCTTGCCTTGTTTACAGTTTGGTTAAGAGTGGTTGAACTTTTAGATTGTACTGGAATTTAAAATTCTTGATATAGACCATCAATAAACTGTCTAATTTTGTCAACCTCAGGATAATTACTATTTGGATTTACTCTATACTATAACTCATTAAGAGCAAATTTATATACATCTACAGTTTTACCAGGTTTTTGTTTTCTACTATGAAAAGTATAATACCATTGGGATACTTTAAATAGATCTTAAAATTTTTGTTCAAAAAAATTTATAAAAGACTGGTTAGGTAGAAGATTATTTATCCAGTGTGCAAAATTTATTTTATTTTGATTATACCAGGATAATGCATTTCCTCTAAGGAAATTAGAAACAATTGCAAGTTGCCAACACATGCTCTTGTAAAGGCTTCAAGCCATTCAACTGGATCTTCATCACTATTTTTTGAAAAGATAGGGAAATCTATTATTTTATACTCCTTTTGGTTCGTAGTTGCTACCATGGTGGCTTGAGTATTATTTTCTTATATTACTTTATTCAAGCCTTTTAAAATCTTTTAAATAGCCATTTGTGTATCAAATTCTGAAGTTTCTGGTCTATTTTTTTCCTCATGCTGCTGCTGTTGTTGTTGTTGTTGCTATTATCTATTTTGATTTCTTGGCTCTCTGTACTCTTCAGCTAGTCTATCAGAAGCATCTGGGAAATATAAATTAATTTGTAGATCTGCTTCTTGATTATTATTATTATTAGTATTATTATTGTTGACTACATAAGTAATTTGATTGTTATTATTATTATTATGCCCTGGTTCTAATCTGGCTTGTCAAGATATATTTGAAGATTGATGAACTGTTTAACAATATGCTTGTTCAAAGATAAGTTCTGTATTATCATTTTGATTATTTGAAGGAGGAGGATGTGATGTTGATTGTATTGTCTCTTCGATTGGTTCTAGATTGCTTTTTGGATTCGAGATTTTTTCGTATTAGAGATATTCAAGTTAAATTGTAGAGAGGAGAGGTATTGATATAGCTGATTGTATAATTTGTTATCTATTATCTTTTAAATATTCAGGTAAGTGAGATAGAAAATCAGCATTTTTGTTCTGGCTACTAGCTTGATAATTAATATCAAACTGATATTCTTGAAGGGTCATTTTCTATTGAGTTATCTGTTTGTTGTTATTAATAGTATAAGAATTTAATAAGTATTGTAGTGCTTTGTGATTGGTAATTAGGAAAATCTCATTCCAAAAATATAATGTCTGAAATATTTTATGGCCCAAACAGCTGCTAAATATTCAAGTTTAACAGTGCTATAGTTAGTTTCTGCAGGAGTTAAGGTATGGCTAGCATAAGCAATTGCATGCTCTTAATTATTTTTAATTTGTAATAGAACTGCACCTAGTCCTTGGTAAGAAGTATTAGTAAACAGAATAAAAAGTTTATTGTAATCAGAATACTGTAATATAGGGATATATGTTAAACAATATTTCAACCAGTTAAAAACCTCATCTTGGGTTTTTTTTTAAATAAAAGGTTCATTCTTTTTTAATAATTTTAACAAAGGTTCAGCTTTTGTAAAAAATCCTTCTATGAAATATCTATAATAAGATGCTAAGCCTAAAAAGGCTCAAAGTTAAATAATGGTTTTAGGAGAGAAAAGATTGTTTAATTTATCAATCTTTTGAGGGTTTGGTTTGATTCTATTGATACCAACTACATGTCCAAGAAATTGTATTTTATTTGTGCAGAAGTGATATTTTTCTAGGTTGATTTGAAGGTTGGCTTGTTTAATTAATTCAAACACCTCTTGTATATCCCGTATATGTTGCTTAAAAGATGTGTAATATCATCAATATATACCATAGCCTTTTTCTATAGAACAGGCCTTAACACTACATCTATAAGCCTTTGAAATGTTGATGAAGCATTACATAATTCAAAAAGCATAATATTAAATTTATAAAGACCATATTTAGTAATGAATGCAGTCTTTTCTTTGTCTTCTTCTTTGACTTCCACTTGCCAATATCCAGAGGTCAAGTTTAAAGATATAAACTATTGAGCATTACCAAGGTTATTCAATATGTCATCAATCTTTGGTAAGGGGTAGGTGTCCTTCTTTGTCACATTGTTTAATTTTTTAAAATCTATACAGAATCTAAGCTTGCCATTTTTCTTTTTAACCAAAATGACAGGAAAGCTCCAAGGGCTTTTAGATTTTCGAATGATGCTATCTTTTTCTATTTTAGCAATTTCTTTTTCAATATGCTTTTGTTCAACTGGTGAAACTTTATAAGCTCTTTGTTTAATTAGATAAGATTTACCAGTATTGATAGCATAATATACAACATTTGTTTTCTTTAGTTTCACAAATTTAGTTGCAAAGATGTCAGCATTTTCATGTAGTAGTTGGGTTATGATTTGTTGTTGGTCATTGTTCAAGGTATGTCTAATAAAGGTTGATTTGTTTTTACTAATTGGTATAGATACTTTTTGATCCTCTTTCTTTTTATCTTTGATTTCAATAATTTC